AAGAAACCATGGACTGTTAAGACCAACATGCATTGCCTCCACAATTACCTTGATGGAAGGGTATGTTCTTGCACTGTCCAACATGCTGAAGGTAGGGGACGGAATCTCAAAATACTGAATCCTATACATACATCATGACTGACTTGATTCACAAGGCTTTTGCTTATGCAGTGTCGGTTCAAAGAGAAGGTTGCTGAAACACGCATACTAGTTGCGACCATGGCTGAAGAACTGCCTATTGAGAAGGCCTTGAAGACGGTACGATCGGCATTCTCTGAGAGGCACTACAAAGATGTGCCGCTCGCTCGGATTGACTACGGCTCGGACTACATCCTGCACGATGGGAAGGTGAAGGCCGAGGTTATCCCCGACGAGCTGCGCGTCGCCAACCGAGAGGCTTGGTCAGACATGTTCCGTGATGCGGCAACTCAATCATTCATCGTCAAGGACGTGAACTCCGGTGTCGACCTTGCCAAGATGAGTGAACGTACCGATGCGCTGGCTCTCGCCAAGAACGCCATGTCGTCATTGACAGGTACTGCGGGAACTCTCAAAGAGGCTCCGGTTGAGGCTTTCGATATCCTCTTCTGCCCGGGGAAGCCCGCGGTCAACTATCTGTTTTTCGGTGACTCCTTCAATGCGTTGGGCGTTGGTCAAAGATGGAGCAAAGACAGATGTTGGCACCATCATCAAGGAGAACAAGCGGACTCTCTTCGGGCACAAGCATGAGGTGTGGTCTGAGATGACGTGGGGAAAAGGGCTATCAGAGTCTCTTGACGCTGCTGAGCGAGCAATGATCAAGCTCGCCGAAAGGCCTGAGCCCCGACCTTATGTCATTGTCATTTCGTGGTCCGGGAACGACGTTGTCGGTCGCAATGGTTACATTGACAACCCCGCTGCCCTAGCGGGCTAGGCCACTGATTCCGAGGCAAAGCGGAAGGCGGCAATGGACATCATCGAGAGGAATGCCAGAGCGGTGATGACAGTTCGCGATCGACTTCGCCACATCGCTTTCAGAAATGATGTCGTCCAGGTCGTCCTCATCGTGCCGAGAGACTACGAGACCCATGGGCTGAGTAAATCTTACAAAACTCAGATGGACGGGCACGCTCGATTGCTGCATGGTTTAGCAGGCATCACCGTCCTAGACCCTCAGACTCTTATTTCCAACACCTCTCGAGCTGACCGCATTCACACCGATGACAATGAGCGGAACTGGAAGCACTACATTAGTTATTTTGTAGCTGCTGCCAAGCTCGGGCACTGCATTGGTCAGATCAATCGCTTTGAGATGGCCATGAACTGGTATCGCCTCGAGAGGGAGTACCTGAACATTGACACGTCCATCCCGATCGTTGGCGCTACACCCCAGGAAACTGGCGGTCCGGCAATTGCAAAGAACCCTGAGGACCCTTTCGACAATGAGGTCCGTGAGAGGGAGTTGGAGGCGATCAACCAAATCGCCGCGCAAGAGCCGAAGCGCGAGATCTTCCTGGAGACTGAAAAGGAGGCAAACCCCCTCTACCCCCTTGACACCGTCAAGGAGGAAGCAAAGATCTTACAGATGATGCAACCTGACATTCACGCGGCGACCGTCAGCGGCCTCAACAATGTGATCGATTGGTCTTCTTCTTCGGATGAGGAGGATCTGATCAGCTTCGACCTGCCCCCTGGCTCTCAGCCTAAGGTCAGCCGGCCGAAAGGCCAGGCCGTTGAGGTTGCCGCAGTGGATCCGAATGACATTGGTGAGGACGGCCAAATCAAGCTCATCCTCACTTCAAAGCGGAAGAGTCACAACAAGATGACTGCAGCTCTCAGTGCTGCGACTCCGAAGGTCAAGGCAAAAGCCATGCCAAAACAGGCTGCCTCGTCCAGTGATCAGGCGTCCGTGGCTGGGAGCAGCAAGACTCAGCCTGGAGAGATCCGTGGCCCGGAGATCATCCCCAAGGCAAAGGCAGTTCCCAAAGCTGCTGGAAAGCCCGGGGAGACCCGTGGCCAGGCTGCTGAACCCAAGAGGGAGTGGATCAAATGCTCAGGAATCAAGAGTCCCCAGATCCAGAACTATGGCAGAAGGACGTTCTTGACGCTCACGAACATGCGACGCGATCCATCCCTGAGATCAATCTCAAGGACAACTCCTTCGACTACGCAGCCGTCGCCAAGTGGATCCAACGTCGATATGACTGGAACTGCACCCAACATACTCTTCTTCAGGCCACGAGCACTTCGAACCGGTTCGAGGTCTATGTCGAGTACGCGCCGGCCGGGCAGCAATGGAACGGGCTCAGTTTCATGCCGCTACGCATTCGCGCGTTCACCGGCCACAACGATTGGGTGACCGAGGCCAGCGGCTTTGACAATATTCCTGGAGATCCCATTGCGATGGATGTCAACTACACCATTGAGCACGCGAAGAAGGGGGTGCGACCGGGCTTCTGCAAAGATTTCTCGGACGCACGCCGAAAGGCGCTGCCCAAAATCGCCTACCACACGTGCAACATGCAGAATTTCTTTGACATCATCTACATGGGCATCTTCCCTGGTGGAATGGGCGACCGGCAATCCTCGCGTGGTCACGCCTACCTAACGGTAGTGCCTCCTTGGGACAGGCACGGCCGGAAGGCGGGGGGTGCGCGGGCTGACCGACCCATCAACATCGCCGTCGATGTGGAGATGTTGATCCAATTGGGCTGTCGGCTGTACGCACCCGGAGACGGGGAAGCCCTGGTGACCGAGGATTGGATCACGAACAAGGTCCTCATTTACGCCTACGACGCAGAGTGTCCGAAGTTCCTCTGGTCCAATCGCATGTATGTCAGCGTCAGACGAAATTACCAAGACAGCATCAAGAAGTATCGGGAGGAAACTCAGAAGGGCGTTGTCGGGACCCCAGTGCTCGAATCGTTCATGGCGAAGGCCGACAAGGAGTGCAAGCTGTATTATAAGCAGTGGGCCCCGACAGCTTGCCGCGACATGATGAGACCTCACCGAATTGGGAATGTGACGAAGGTCAGGGACGTTTACGACGAGAACCTCCCGAAAGAGGAGCAGGTCGCCCTCGAATTCGAGACCGCTCGTTATGGCCTATACCGGAACTGGGCTCGAGCTGTGAAACAGCAGCCCGGGGAAACCCGTGGCCGGAGTGGTTTGTGGCAGGACCTGGACCCCAACAAGCAGAAGTCGACCAATTGGCGCTTCGCGGAGGTCATGCACATCCCCGACGTTGAGTGCCCGCGCTGTAAAATCCTCATCCCGGTCGGCACCATCAACTGTTACCAGTGTGACCATCTCATGGAGCGCATGCCCGATATCAAGAAGATAGCCAGGGTCGTCCGATTGCAAGAGATGGCCAACAGCTTGGGCGTGCCGCTTTCCATGGACCAGGTTGAGACTCAGATCTTGACGCAGCGGAAGGATGCGCGAGGGGATCGAAGCGCAAGAGGGGGCCTCGGGATCATGAAGGACATCGCCAAGAAAGCAGTTCTTCGCAACAAGGAGTACACCACGTTGTACGAGAGGCTGATCAACGACCCCTTCTACGCCTACACTGCCGCGCGGGGAGACCTGACGCCGTCCGCCCTCGAGTTTATCGAGTAGGTGGCACGATGCATTATTCCGAGTTTCGAAAGAACGAAGGAAATGATCCAAGGAAGCGTTGCTGTGCCGAAATATCACGCACGGCTAACGCTGGTGCCGCCAACCGAGGACGTGCAGGAGGTTGATCCGAAAGACGTGTATGTGGTGCATGGTGGCAGATTTTTGGAACCAGAACAATTTGCCGCGTTGTATGGAAGCCTTGACAAGAGCAACCGCTACCCCATAATGGGCTGGACTCGGGATTTCTCGTCGGTGGGAGACCCCGAAATGGTATTGGTTGAGTTGCTTTGCTTCGTCGAAGAGGAGATCCCCGGCATCCAAATCCTTGGACGGGCCACTCCGCTCCCTGCAGTTGTCGGTGTGACGCGCAAGCCCATTCCGCAGCTCCGGGAGACCGGTCCAATGGCAAGATCGTCAATGGAGCCAGTCGTACTGGGGAAGCTGGGGCCATCCTGGGACTCGTGGTGGTCTGATGATCAGCGCCCGTGGAAGAGCTCCCGCAATTGGGATTGGCGATGAATGAGCGATCTCTTCAACAATCTTTTCAATCTTCGGCTGACATCCATTTACATTTCAAATTCAATATTCATTATACTTCTCAATTCATGTTGGCCGAGGATCAATGTACAGGCATGAGCACGCCTCGCGAGAGCGACGGTCAGTGGAGGCGGAAGACCTTAACGGCCAGTTGCTCGAATCCAAGTGCTTATGTGCTGCAAAAGACTTCATGCCGATCGGGTTTCGTTGGTTGTTTCATCCCTTTCATTTGTCCTCCTGTTTCACATTCGGGCACGGGGTGATGTATTTATCAACCATGTAAAACCCCAATGCATGAATGTCTCACTTGCGCAGTCTCATCATTACGACTGCGTATGGCGCAAAGCTCAAGAAAAAGCGCGCTGTGGACAGGGTTCATTGGTGACCCTTCCCGGTTGTTTAACCTGTTTTATAGATGGTTTCCTGAAAAGATTCGGATCCCTGGAAAGAATGGAAATGGAAGGTACCTCTCCGAAAAGATGGACCATGGGAATGTGTTTTCTGCACCGCAACTATGCGCAACTTCATCTAGTGCGATTTGGCACTTGCCGGCCCTGGAAACCAAACCAAACGGTTGAACTTCCAAGGGAGGGTACCTGCAGGTGCCCCCCAAAAACGAAGGATGTCCTCTCCGTTCCGCCCCTTTCGGGCTCTAAACGAGAAGGCCTTCCCTCTACCCAAACAAAATGGGGCCTTTTTGCTTCCTTCCTTCCTTCGTTCCTTCTTTCCCACAAACCTAAACAAGAATTCCTTCCCCAAACCCAAGCAAGAATTCCTTCCAACCCAAGAAACCCCTGGCTTCCGATTCGGCCGCCCCGTCTTCTGGCGTCCCAGCGCGCGCCGCGCGCCCGGCGCGTTTCCTCGAGGCCTGCGCGGAGCGGGCGCTGGCCTCGGGCGCCGGGGCGGAGGCGCGGGTGGCGCGGGCCGTGGCGCTGCAGCAGAGCGGCCGCGCCCGGGAGGCCGAGGAGGACAGCGGCCCCTCGGGGCCGACGGAAGCGCCAGAGGTGGTAGGGGCGGAGGTGGTAGGGGTGGCGGGGGGGGGGGGATGGTGTGACCGAAATTGTGCCGGGAGACTTGGAGTGGTGTTTTGTGATGAAGTTTTTTTTTTTTTTCTTTTTTGAAGGTGGAGGTGGGGGGGAGCCCTAAGTGAACCGCGCCCAAACCCATTGACGTTTGGTGCGAATATTGAACAATGTTTTGCGGCCTTTAGGCCATGTGTTTTGGTGCTGCTCATCTGAGCTTCCAAAACCAGGTTGTTGGTTGGACATTTGGTCTCAACATGTCCCAGCAGCCCCGGGTCCGTTTGGGATCATGGCGGGGATCTTGCCAACATTTCCACGTCCCTTACGGTGACCGCCCATGTGACACCGGCGAGAAGCAATGTTCGCAAGACCGCTTCTACGCCGCGAAGCATATGGCTGTGGGTCAAAACCAATGGTACCATTTTAGGTGCACCACCCATTTTAGAACCTATTTTAGTTGGGATTGGTTGGGATTTTGACCCATGGCCATTTTGGAGGCAGAGGCCCAGTGACTCGATTCGCGCAGGAGCTGATGTCTGTGCTGCAGTCGCACCCGCAGCACGCACTGGCCGCTTGGCGGAGGGAAGCAATGTGCCAATTGGGTGTGGAGCGGTCAACCAAAAGCCCATGTGTGAAGGGGGGGGGTCCGAATTGCCATGCCTTTGCGGGAATAATCGTGCGCCCACGCTTGCTGGGAATTTCGGCAGTGATGTGGGGAGTTCTCCCGGAGCACGCCCCTCCCCATTGCAATGCGGTGGGTGCATTGCGGCTTTAGGGCGAATCCACGTCTGGCACTCGACCAAACCCAAAAGAAGCCCTCCGAGCGAAACGCGAGCGGCGCGCGCGACACGAGGCCCGGCTGCAGCTGGCGTACTGCCAGTTGCTGGGGGGCAACGCCAACCGCGCCGGGGCCATCCTCGAGGGTCTGCTGGCCTCGCGTGCCTCGCTGCCCCGAAGCCTGCGCCGGCCCCGGCTAGAGGGATGGGATGGGTCCGGGGTGTGCGTGGGGTGGAGTGAGGGCGTGGGCTCAAGTGAAAGGATGCCCGACCCAAAAGTCGCGGTTTCCTTGCGAAATGAAGCTGTGTTGCCGGGGGGGCTGTCTCTTTTGTCCTCCCCGCCAAACACCTCCGAGGCTCGGCTGTGCGAAGGTGTACCTGGCGCTCGCGCTGGCTGAGCAGCAGAGGCGCAGCCTGAAGGCCACAAGGTGGCTCAGAGACCCAGGTTTGGAGGCAAAACATGGGTGGTCAAGTGGAAGTGGCTCAAAAATGAAGAGCCAGGGTTACCCAGGTGAAAGTCTTTGGTTTCACAAAGCTGCCATTTTGGTCTCCATGTTTTTGAGCCACAGCCATCTGTGTGAAAGGGTCTGATGTTTTTGCGCCGGCTGACGCCGGCGAGTAGATGGCCAGGACTCAGCGCGCCAGCAGCCTGGCGCAGGAGGCGCTCACCGCGCACCGGAACCTTCAGACGGCCTGGGACCCCGGGAGCTGTGGCGGGGATCGGCAGGCCGCTGGATCTGAAGTTTACGCGTGGTGCGTGGGACATGCCTCCCGAGAATCGGCCGGGCGGTTGCGGCGCCCATGGCTTGGGGAGCTCCAACAGGGGTGGGGGGCGTTTGCGAGATGGAATCAACTGCGTGATCGTCGTGTGGGTGAAGCTGACTGCAGCCGTAAGACTCGCGTGTCAGCCGCTCTTCGAACTGCCTGTTCAACCTTACCTCGACCAACTTTCACACTCACAACAAGGCTAACCTTTCAAAGCGGTTGCCCTAGCAAAGTTTGGGACATTGAGGCACTCTCCTCAATCCACGGCAAGCCAGGGACCTGCTTCGGTCTTCAAACGCGTTCTAAATCAGCAGAACGCCCTTCTGAACAGCGTAGAGCCTTTTCGACCAACCCATGAAGAAAACGGTCCCGGTGCCCTGGCCACTTTGGTTTTCTTCCTACCGTCGAGCGACGACATCGAACCAACAATTTCCCCCTAGATGCTAGCTTGGGTTCAAACGGCTTGGGGTCAGCCTCAACTCTGGTAGCACCTTTGCAATGCTTGTCTAACTTCATGGAGATGCAACTCGGTTGATAAACCACGAACCGAAACAGAAATGGCGCCTGGCGTGGATTTGGTCCATCCATCGCAGCAACCCTTACGAGAGGTTTGCTGAAATCAGCAAATGCTACACACCTCTGTGCCTTTCAAAGGGGTTGCTCAAAGGCTCCACCTTTTGGGCGGGTGTCCTCTCCCAGTCACTTTTTCTTGGGTGGGGAGGGTGGGGGTGGAGTAAAACTGGGCACTCCTGGCACTCGCTCCTTGCGTCTCTTCCCACGCGCCGGCCGCCCGCGCCACGAGCCGTGCCACGAGAGGTCTGGCGGGAGATCGAGTCGGGGCAGCAGAGCGGCACCGGGGCGCTGCAGCGGCTGCGGGGCATCTGCGACCTGGACCTCACCGCCGCCCAGGCCGAATCCGCGGAATCCGCGGATCGGGGACCTGAGGCAATGGGATGGGATGGGGGCAAGGGGTCGGGGTTGGTGGGTTGGTGGGTTGGTGGGTTGGTGGGGCGAAAGTTGCCTTTTTTCTTTTGGTGTAGGGGTGTCTTCTGTTGTCCGTTACAAGTGAAGCGGGATTTGGCGAACTTTTGAAATGTTGAAGGTGAAGCAGCAACACAGAATCTTACGTAAGAGCAGCTCCATGTTTCCATCTTATTATACTGCAGTGATGCACTGTAGTTGTCAAGGAAGTTAAAGTAGAAAGTGTGTGTCCGGAAATGGTGCCAGTTGAGGAGACAACTTTGCATGGACGGCTTATGAATACAAAGCATGTTGCACCTTCGCCAGGATCAGCAAGGGCAGAACCCGGATTTTGAAGTTCCTCCCACTGACTTCAACCTAGAGCTGACTCATGTACCCAAATGAGGCAGCCCCGGCAACCATCCAAGAATGTACAGTTGGTTGAACGCAGCTGGCACAACTCCATCATTCGGGGTGTACTCATCCCCGTCATCCCCTTTCCATCCTGTTTTGTCTCTTTTTTTTTTTTGAGAGAGAGTCCCCTTTCTCGTGGTTTTAAAGGACAGCCAAACAGCTCACGAAGTCCAACTTCCTCAAGCGCCCTGCCAGGCGAGGCAGCTGTTGCAGCTGCGCCTGGGACGGGGGATGAGTGCGTCGTTTCTTCAGGATATCCTAGGGTTGGTTAAAAGGGACATCAAAGGGGTATACCAGCAAGGGTTGCTTGTTTTTTTGGGTAGGGGCGCTCAGGGACCTGAAGAAGGGTTTTTTGGGCGGCTTTTTGTGTGCTTTCACTTCGAGGGGTTGTCTCTAGGCTCTGGGCAAAGTGAAATGACTACAAAAAAAGACTGGACTTTTGAAATGACTACAAAAAGGGGTTTCTCTAGGCTTTGGCTTCCCTTTGAAATGACTGCAAAAAGGGAACCCTCCCAAAGACGGAACAGTCCTGAGGCTCGCAGCCGCCGCAAACCGCCCAGAGCTCGCGCCGAAGAGGAAGGGTGGATCTGCTTGGGGGGTGGGCGTTGTTGTGGTTAGTTATGGATCATTTATTGGGATCGGCCAGCTGACTATGGCCCAACACTCCTGGAGTATTGGCCATAGCTCGAAGAACGTCGGAATGTTCGCCACACCTGGACGACTTGCAAGGCATTTCCATCTCCGCGGGCATCCGGTTTTCATGTCTCACGCAGCTTGCCGTCGGGACACTTGACCTCCAATCTCCCGCCTGGCAGAAGCTAGAAGCTGGACATCTTAACCTGACACCCTTTCCCCCAAATGCTACTAAGGTTCCATGGTCTGGGGAGGGGGGGGCGGGGCGGGTTTTGGGTTGTTTCACCGGAGTTTTGGCTTACATCTTTTTGCAACATTGCTGGTTCTCAGCATGGAATGAGGGAATCAATCCCTTGTGGTTTCCTTTAGGGGATGGATATGCGAGGAATGGCTATCTGCAGGATCGACCAGGCTTGGGCACGCCACCCTGTCCATACACGCTCAAACAACCCCCCCGGCCCCCCTCGGCCCCCATCCCCCACCCCCCCCACCCCCCCGACCCCCGAGCGCGCGCCGAGCGCGCTCGCAGAGCGCCAGGGAGGGCGGCTACGGCAGCGCCGCGTCGGTGCCCTCCACGCCGGCGCCCTCTACGCCAAGCGCCCGGGGACGCGGAGGCCGGTCGGCTGGGGGGCGTGGGATGGGGTGGCTGGTGGCTGGTGGGGTCCGGTGTTCCTCGGTTCTTTTTTTGTTTGGGGGGATGCAAGTGGGCTTACCCCAGCTGGTCTTGAGCATTGGGTTGATCCAAATGGTGGAACCTCAAGCCGCCCAAAACGGGATTTGCCTCTCAAAACAGTCCGCCCCTTCGTTTGGCTTCGGAAGGTGCTCCAATTTTCATTTCTGCTTCTGGGGCAGTTTTCCTTGACAGTCTCCTTGGTCCCTCAAACAAGTTTGGGGCGTATGTTGGACATGTTGGGTGCGCCTGGATCGGTCCCCACGCCCATGGCACCGCAGGCGCGACGCCGGCGAATGCGACTCCCTGCGCAAGGTCCAGGGACCAGTCCCAGGCTCCGCGGTCTCAGCGACAGCGGCGGTTGAGTAAGAGGCCACTGTCAAAGAGTGGGGCCCTGCTTCCATTTGGCTAAGAATATTTTTATATGTTCTCCTGTTGGTGTTAAAGGGAATCTATTACTACTGGAGTTATTTTCATTTTTTTCCGGGGGACGCAAGCAAAAGGAGGTTTGGGTTTGGGGAGGTGCACTTTCTGCTTGCCTTTCAAGGCGGCAAACAACGCGTCCGATCAGTTTTCTGGAAAATCCCCGCGTAACTGATGTCCACAAACGGGTCCTCAATGAAACATCATGCCGAATCATGCCAATATATGATATATGCATTGTAGGTCCAAGTCGAGTTTCTTGCAAAGGGTATGGACTAGGAGTGGTTGGACGAAGGGCGCATTGCGCTGAGAACTTCCACTACCGCCCCTGAGTGGGTGTGGGTTTCATGGCAACGTGAAGCCTTAAGCTTCCCATTTGCTGCAGGACCGCGCCTTCACCATCGGCCGGGGGCTCAACCGGGATGAAAGAACCACGCAGACCACGTCTTTTTGTCCATGCTTCGACGGTTGCCACCCGGTATCGGATATTCCAGTCCAGTCCCGTCATATTTTTTGAGGAATCGATGATCGAGACATCACGAAGGGCGGTGGTGGTAGTGGTGGCGGAGTTATCTTGGGCAGCAGCTTTGCAGCCAATCATTTACTGTAGCAAGGGGGTTGACATTGGGCACGCTCACCAAGTTACCATGAGGAAAGGGCCTGAGTTGTCAGTCGGGAACACACTGAATATTGTCCGTGGCTCATGAGGGGTTACCGTCCAGAGGTTCACCCTCACATAGCTTGTCCGATTCAACTTGCGCGTTTTGGCTCACCAACCGTTGGGGCATCGGATGGCTCCCTGAGCTATTTGGCTCGGACCATGAGGCACACGCTGACAAGGGGGGCTTCACACAGAGGTGTCGTGACGCACTTACTGTAGAATTTTTGATCCAACCACCTCAAGACGCTTGTTTGCACCATGACGGAAAACAAAGCCGAGATTGGAAGATTGATGAGACAGGCGGACAGAGGCGGACAGCCCAACTCAAATGCTCTGCGGCAACATGTTCCTTGTGTAGGCGACCTGTGTTCAGCCACAGATTAAGCTTGATCGGCTACGGATGAGCAAAGGTTGGGGTCGCCAGCACAAACTTGAGAGCATTGTGCGCCGCCCATGCGCGAGATGTTGCTTCTGACGCTGGGCATAGCGGCGGCGCAAGTACTGTGCCCTTTGGGAACGGAGGCGGGGAGTGCAGGCGCTGTGTCTATGGTTGTTGAGCCCGAATTTGGCAGCGTTATATATATATATATATATATATATACATATATATATATATACATATCATGAACATGAATTCTTACAAATATCATGTTTCGTTTTAGGGGGACCCCTCGGTAAAGAAGGAAGCAAGCTAGACGCACTCAATGCTTCTTCACCCGCGTGGACACTGACTATTGGGTTGAGAACTTGCCCAACCTTTGCAGATTCCCTTGGGGTCATCAAGCGTATCGCTTAAGCAGTCCATGCTACTGCGAAGTCCTCATGTGGCTCACGCCATTGCCTCCCCTCAAGCCAACCACTCGTGGGCTTGGAGTGCTTGAGGACCCAGAGAGGTGTTAGCTATGAGCGACATTCTTGTGGCGGACCTTTTTCAGGAAAAGTAGCGTGGCTTCCCAGAAGTGCAAGCAGTGAGTGCAATCATTTCTTGGGGTCCTCCCCTTTGACCGTCCTCCCCTTTGAGGACCTCCACGCAAAAGCTGCCCGCGTGCGCGCTCCTCCTTTGAGGCCCTTGATGTTTCCTCTACGAATGTGGGGATTGGCAGGGAGACTTGAGCGGAAGCCGGGTCTTCCTGTTGGGACACATGTTGTACAGCTTGGCTCTTCCCTTCTCCTTGTGTGTTCTCAAAACAAGGGGATCCACAAAATGGGGCCGAAACGGGTTCATTGGGTTCCCTTGAGCGAATCCTTTGAGCGCGTGCGAGGCGTGTGCTGCGCGTCGCAGGTCTCGGCGGGGGGCGACCACGCGCTGATCTTGGCCGCCGGGGAGGCCTTCGCGGTGGGGGACAACCGCTACGGCCAGCTGGCGGTGGGCCACGCGGAGGTCGAGGGAAGGGTGGGGGCTGGAGGGGTGGGGGTGGAGGGGTGGGGGTGGAGGGGTGGGGGTGGAGGGGTGGGGGTGGAGGGGTGGGGGTGGAGGGGTGGGGGTGGAGGGGTGGGGGTGGAGGGGTGGGGGTGGAGGGGTGGGGGTGGAGGGGTGGGGGTGGAGGGGTGGGGGTGGAGGTGGGGGTGGAGGGGGGCGGGGGTGGAGGGGTGGGGGTGGAGGGGGGGGGGGGGTGGGGGTGGATGGGTGGGGGGTGGAGGGTGGGGGTGGAGGGGTGGGGGTGGAGGTGTGGGGGTGGAGGGGTGGAGGGGTGGGGTGGAGGGGTGGGGGTGGAGGGGTGTGGGGTGGAGGGGTGGGGGTGGAGGGGTGGGGGTGGAGGGGTGGGGTGGAGGGGTGGGGGTGGAGGGGTGGGGGGGGTGGGGGTTAGGGGGGGGGGTGGGGGTGTGAGGGGTGGGGGGGGGGGTTTGGTGGGGGTGGAGGGGTGGAGGAGGGGTGGGGGTGGAGGGGTGGGGGTGGAGAACCAGGGGGGGGGTGGGGGTCTGGTTTTGGTCCCCTTTGAGAGCGGCCAGGGTTTGGTGGTTTGAACCAAGTTCGCCGAACCCTGGTGGAACAGGGGAAGGGGTGGGGGATGGTGTGTGGGGGGGATGGGGTAAGAGACAAATCAGCCTTTTTGCAGCAATACAATCACATGATGACCAAACATTGTACTTCAAAGCAAGCCAGAAGAGGGTGCCGTATTTCTTGACCGCCCTGCATGGCTCATTTTTTTTTGTGGGGAATGCCCGCAATTGGTTAGAGGATAGCACTCAGTCTTGCGTAGTTTAGACTCATGTATTTCTGCTGTTCACCAAAGGCACCATTTCTACTTCAAATTGATGTCTAGGCCCCCCCGGTAGTGCCATTCTACCCTTTTTTGGGGGAGGGTTCCCCTACTGAAAGAGTCTAGAGAAAAAGTTGGTACCCTTCTTGTAACCTCTGTACTCGAGAAACCTAGATGTAGTGATCCAGACTTTGCTGCCCTGCGTCCCATCTCCTGGGAGGCCATGAAGTCCCACGTCAAGGTGCCGCTGGAGGAGGCAGAGCAGACGGCTTTTGGAGTTGGACACCTCGTTTTGGGGTTGATTGAATGCGAAGGCCAACAGGACCGCCCCGTTTGGCTGAAGCCGCAAGGGAACGCAGCCATTTGGCAGAAACCAACAAGGAACGCCGCCATTTGACTGAAGCCAAAGTTTGAAATGAAAGGACACCTTCAATTTTTGGCTGGGAGCGCCTCCTTTTTTCGGTCTTTGGGTTGTGTTTGGGTGTTTCTTCACTGCTGCTGGCAAGTTGTTTTGGGTTTTTAGACTTTGTGGTTCTGTGTATTTTTAGTTGGGGGCTGCAAACAACAAGCCAGTTTCCTTTTGTGTGTTTTTTTCTTCTAAATGTTTTCCAAAGAACTGGTTGGTTGGTTGGTTGGTTGGTTGGTTGGTTGGTTGGTTGGTTGGTTGGTGGGTGGGTGGGTGGGTGTGGGTGGGTGGGTGGGTGGGTGGGTGGGTGGGTTGGTGGGTGGGTTGGTTGGTTGGTTGGTTGGTTGGTATCCTCCAGTCTTGTGCCCCTTGCACCAGAAAGTGTTTCTATTATTTTCCATGGACACTCTTTTTTTTTTTTAAGGTTGTCAAGCATACCAGACCACACCAAAGGTTGTAAAGCAAACATACCCAGTTGTTTTCTGGTCCGCCACACGACGCGCTCGCATGGAGCCCAGCGACGTGGCGGCCAGGTGGAGGACGTGGCGGCCGGGGCCACCCACTCCCTGCTGGTGGCGGGGGGTGCGGTCTTCGGCGCCGGGGACGGCGGCCATGGGCAGCTGGGGCTGGGGGACAAGGAGCGACGAGCAATGGGGGGGTGGGGGGGGTTGATCAAAAAGGCCGGTGATGCATGGGATAACTATTGGGGGGAAGCCACCAAATGTGGGGTTGGGACTCCATGAAAATCGTGGGTTTCCTGTTGGTTTCCCTTTAAAACCAGCCCAAACTGGGGTACCCCCCCCAAAGAAAGACAAAACCATATGGGGGTTGATCAGGCGGTTGCCCCTTTGCTGGCTAGATCGAAGGCGTGGATTGAAGCAAGGGCTTGGAAGATCAACAAGTGCTACTTCCCAGGGTCAAGTGTTGGTTGCCATGAGTGGCAGCATCAGAATAGGGGTCTTGTGTGCAAGAGATGCGGGTGTGCCCTGGAGTACGCGAAGATGTGATGCCATGAAGGTGACCCTTCCAGTGCCTTTGTTTTTTTGTCCGCTGTTTCCAATGCCAACCTACACCCTAGGCTCCACCTGTCGCACTGTATGAGATTCGGAGGCAGATTCACTTCAAGGGGGGAAGTGTGGAAGAGGCTCAGACAGCCCTGCAAGTGAAGGCTGGAGCCGGCACGTTGCTTCGTAGGCAAAAAACGTCCTTTACATGAGATGACTGATCATTGGGGAACACCACTAAACAGATGAACGAATATGAATCTCTCAATGCCCGGTGTACTTTTAGTCGTGTCTTTTTGGTTGAGACCACCTTGGTCAACCTTGTGGTTCCTGTTTGAACCTTTAGTCGTGTTGTTTTTTTCTTGCTTCACCTTGGGTCGGATGACAGGTTTGCACACTCTTCTAAACCCGTCAAGGAGCCTCGGCTGCTGCCCACCCGGGTGCCCCTGCAGACCAAGGCGGGGGAGAGGGTCAAGGCCCAGCCGGTCTAAAGTACCTTCCGGGGCCCCGGGTCATCGAAGCTCAAAAGATGTGGTTGGTTGCATGGGGTCAGTGTAGAGGGCAACCACAGGGACACCCCCGAGAGCTCAATATCTTTGGGGGGTTGATGTAAAGGGCAAGGTAAACCGCCAAACAAGATGCGCAGACCCCCTTTGGAGGACTGATTCGCGCGCAGCGGGCCTGTGCAGGGCCGGTTTGTTGAAGGATAGGTTTTGAATTGAGCGCCGCGTTGGCTTTTGTCAGGAGAACTCAACATTTCCCGTTTTTTGGTACCGAGGAGAAAACCAATGAACATGAAAACACAAAAGGAAGTAAACAACAACCTCAATGCGTAGGGAAGGCCTCAATGCGTGGGGAAGGTGGGGAGGTGGGGCAAGGTCCGGTCTCACGACTTCTCATGTAGGGGCGGCTCCTTCCTTGGCTTGGTTTGTTTCTGAATGGCACTTTGCCTTTTGACACATGGGTGCTTGCAAAAGGCCCCGTTTCGCTTGTGGCATTGATTTCTCCAACGACTCTCACAACTAGCGCCTGAAAAAACTGTTTCGTGTGTCGCACCCTCCCCTTCCCCTCCCTTTCCCCCCCCCCCCCTCCTCCCCGCCTCCCCAGCCTTCCTTCCCCTCCCCAGGCGCAG